ACTGGAGTGGTGGGAATTAGTGTGTTTGAGACAACGAGGTTGGCACAGGATAGAATGTCATTTAGGGCTCTTGTATATAGGGCCACTGTGAGTCGCAAGCGACTCGATGACACATAAAAACAACAACAATGCATCATCGTATTTCAGACTGCTGGTATCAAGGGTGTTAAATGTGGATCCAAGCAAGATGAAACTGTGGACAGTTTAAATCTGTTCGCCATCCATCATGATGGCTGCCTGTTGGTCCAGTGGTAAAAATCTTTGTTTTCCTGACGTGGAGATACAGTCCATACCAAAAGGTTGAATTCCTTGATCTTCTGCAACAAGTGCTTTATGTCCTCTTCACTTTCCGCCATTAAGTCATATAAATTGCAGTTCTTAAAGGATTTCTTTTGCCTTTTAAGAGATTTTTTTTTTTACTTTGTTAACGGTTTCACTGTGATATACCTAGGTATATTTTTGTAACGTGTTTGGGATTCTTTAACCTTTAAGTGGAGTTTGAAGTCTTTCTGTAAGATTCTTCGCATTATTATTTTAAATATTGTCTCTTGTTATGATTCGAGAGGAAACTCTGACAGCCTGGTCGTTAGGGAGCCGAACAGCTAACTCAAAGACCATGTTTATAGCAGTTCAAATCAAGCCACTAATTAGGAGAAAGATGGTACATCTCCCAAGCTAAGTACAGATTCTGAAAACCCACTGGAAATTCAGCTATTAGTTCTGACTCAAAGACAACAAGAATTTTTGACCTAGCATTTTAACAGTCTCAATTAGAGAACCCATTCAAGAAATCTTAATTTTCCCTACTATCAGATTGGAGAGAATCACATCATACTGTATCTATAATATAGTTGTAATTCATGCATCTGGTACATTCTGTTTTTTATATACCTTTTCCCTTCTATTTCAGTTCCTCATGTATCATTTTAATAACCACATAATGTTTATTTCACCATAATTTATATACCAAACTGTCAGGTTGATTCCAACTCCTAGTGTGACCCTTCATCATGTTTCCAAGGTGATCAGTCTATTGGAGGAGACTACCCATCTTTTTCTCACAGTGGCCGGTGGATTCAAACAGCTGACCTTTTTGGTTAGCAGTTGCCAATGATCCTTATAGTTCATATTCTGTTGCGCATCGTCTGGTTTAAACTGACTCTTAGCTGACCCTCCAGCAGGTTTTCAGAGGCAGTGAATCTCATGTGAAGAGATTGCCCATCTTTCTTCCAAGGAGCAGCTGGTGGTTTTAGTCCATCAGCAGCTCCAGTCTACCGGTGGCTATGGGATGGCAATGCAGTTTTTTACCCTATATGATTTGTTTATTGACTTTGGGTTTAAGTAGTGTTGTGAGGTAACTGTCCATCAATTTAAAAGCCATTTTTTTTCTCCCTTAGGTCAGCTTACTGTAACACAGTTGATATCAAAGAAGTTACAATTGACCGTAGAGGCAGAGGTAAGTAACTTTTTAAGAACAAAAATGTGGTTTTAGGGTAAATCCTTTGCTGAAAGAATGTCTAACATTTCTTAACCATTATTAATATTATCCTGATATAAATAAATGAAGGAAAATAGCATCTGCTATATTTATCCTCTGTTCAAGAATTTTATTGTATTCCATCTGTCACTCTCTTCTGACTGTTACAGTGAACTATGGTAAAGACTGATACAAATTTCTGTATGATTGCTTCAGAGAAGCTACTATAATGACTAAAAGGAATAACTTCTGGTAAATATTGAGTCTGAATCTAGAAGCAGATTAATTTCCTGAAAGGAATAATGAATAAATATAAACTCAAGAAATATAAAATAGCATAGGAATAATTTCAAGTAGGGCATGCAGTTTAAATTCTGCAGTGCTTTCAGGAAATTTTGAAGGTCAAAGGACACTTTGTTTTGTGTTTTTATTATAGTCTGATAGTATGTGTGCCTGAATATAAATTGGCATAAAATTCAAGAAAAGTTTCTATTTTTTTAAATTATTATTAAATTTTAGTAGTTTTAGTGAACATTTACAGAGATTTTGGGTTTTCATTCATTCATTGTTGCTCTGTTTTCTCTACCCTCCTCCCCAGTTCGTTATTCTTCCCTGCCCCCGAATGTCTGTTTTAATTGGCCAATTGCCACAGTGCTTGTCAAAGCCAGTTCTGATTAATCTCCCTTGTCAGTGGGTCCTTTGCCATTCCCTATCACTCCTCCCTGAGAGAGACTTCACCCTGATTCATAAGGAAAAGGGGATGGC